GTCTACAGACATCCACATGCACAGGGCTGTTGCTACCACCTTAAGAGATCACAGAGAAACATTGACACCTCTTATTCTTAAAATTGCTGCTGGACAGCAACAGACCACATTATTATTATTTATTTTTTTCCCTTTTTAAAAAATGATACATTTTTCTTTCTTATTTTGTCTGCTTGGACGTATATTGTTAGATTTGCATGGTCCAGATCAAGCTCTGCATTATGACGTCCATGGACACGTGTGAAATAGACATGCATGTAGAAGTTGAATTACCAGCATGTGAAAAAACAAATGCAGAAATGTCTCGTCTTAAGTTTCTTAAAACGGATGTTTATGCATTAGCAGAGAGGTTGATTCAATTATCACTGGGATTGTGTGGCACCCTCTACTGGCCCTAGAAATCTCTGCAAGTGAAACTGTGGTGGAGTGACTGCTGAAGTGGCATTTAAAAAATGTTTCAGATTTTTATTAAGATTATGGTACAGCTGTAGATGTGTTGAATAAGAAAATCAGACATATGTGCGCACAACATGCAGAGCGCCGAGGCACTTTAAACCCTGATAACATTTTAAAATCTATTCTCATACTCAGCCCATCCATTCTTATACTCTCCTACAAACACACACACACACACACACACACATGCACTCTTACTCAATCTGTAACCACCAAATTCAAAGTGTAAGCGCCGCTCAGCCTGCCAGTACTTATATACAGATAATGAATCTGTGGTAGAGAATTACAACACACTACCACTGCTTTATCTTCCTGCTGCTTTTGTTAGTCCTCAACATGAATAACGTGCTTAGGAGACACACACACACACACACACACACACACAAACATACGCACAGTAAAAAGGGAGCAAGACAGACAGAATCACATTAGCAAAAGCATTTCAGGGCAGAAAATAGGATTGAATTAATCTTCATCAAACATAGCCAAGAGCTGGGGGATCACACCCTGGCTGAAGCCATCCCAGCCTCACTGCCCCCTCACTGCCATAATGTCCGATGAATCAAATACATTAAATATTTGTTTCTGACTAAGTGATTGATTTCATCCTTAAGAAAAAATCTTTTGATATTTGACTGCAATGAAATTATACCTTTTCTGGCTGACAGCTTAACAGATACTAATTACACTGACCCAATGACTGATGGAGTGCACGTTTGAATAAAAATCCAAGAAGGAGAAATTATTATTTGGAAAGAAACCCGTCAGCCTGAAATCCACACATTGTTTACCGCAGGTGAATCCAGACTGAATGCCAGTTTAAGTGTTATTAGGTCAGAAAACAAGAAAACAGTTGGGAGCCAGAGGTGACGGCCACTCCAGCTGTCATCCTAGTCCAGCCAGCCGTTGTGGACTCTGGGGCTCTGTGGCCAGCAGCACAGTAAACAACACAGAGACAGACCAAGAGACCAGAGTCACACATTGA